GCAAACAGCAACTCCATGGAAAACTTCTAGGAAAACAGGAGCGATGCCAAATGTTTCTGCAGCTCCGGAGTTCCTAAGCAGGGAAACACATCCCCGTAGCAAGGCATGCGTGACATTTGCAAATGACCTTCACTTGGAATCGAGGTGTAACACATACACATTACCTCAGTACATCATTCACTCTTAATCTATTAACGATATGACTCATTAACATATTAGCAGTAGTCGTGGTGTTAATAGGAGTAGTACTAATACCACTGTCATTGCAGAGCTCACAGGTTCCAACACGCCAGTCCTACAGGCATCCAACAGAAGGATTTGTGACCCGGCATCAGGAAGGTGGTGAGACGAGGTTTGATAACCCTGCCACAGTTACTTCATGGGATGTGGGCTGTTATCTCTTGTTATCTCCCCGAGGAATCACAGAGACCTAACTGTGCAATCATAAGGATTGTTCAGCTGTGAGATCCCTGATGGGTATCTTTGCTGGACATGGGATGAAACCCTAAAGAATGGTGTTTTTTTCATATTCGTTAAATGTTTCTGTTAGTACTCAATCAGGTGTGAAATGCCTGCTGAGCTCTTGCAGAGATTTCTGCTTCTGTAGGGTGCAAGAACACTCTCACCTCAGGGAAAGGTTTTATGAAGTAATTTTGCAGAACTTGTCAAGAACTGCTGGGGAGGAAAAACACACAGCCTAAGAAACACTGGTGCACATTCCTTTTTCTGCCCTTGATTTCCCTGCTTGGCAATCTCATCTGAAAGGACTTGAGGAATGACCCCGTTAGTTTGGGATTTCCAGAAGCACAGTTCCCCTGATGGTGAGGGAAAGTCCCCACATGTCTGAGCCCACCCACGAGGCTCAGCCAGCACAGCCACACAGCCAGAAAACCCCAGAGCCCAACAAAAGCGCTCTGAGCCACAGCCCAGCTCTTGCAGAGGAGTATCAGGCTCAGGATGGTTGTGTTCTGCAGAGGGAAGGTGTTTACACAGGACACATTAAAGTTACTGAATGATTCCTGATGGTATAACACAGATCTGATTTATCATAAGTGCAAACACTCCTCACAAGACTTAAGGTGAAATTGAAGTTCAGGTTTCAAGTAACCTTAAAAATCTGACAGTCTAAGAATCCAGCTTTGGGGACTTGGCTCTAGAAAACTGGTCATCAAGACTGGCTTCACACACAGACCAAATCTGCAGACACAGGTCTGTCTCTGAGACCAGGGCACAGGGGAAATGAGCCATTCTGTGATATCCTGCCACGTAACCCTGAGTCTGTGGATCTAAAATACACACTGCAGTGGAAGGTAAGACCGGGCAGGCTGGGAGCCACAGCTGGGGTGGGAAATATTCACAGTAGCTTTATATAAGAACAATAAAACCAAGCCTATAATTACCTTCCTGCTCACCCTCACCACACTGAGATGAAGTCTCTGCCATTAACATCTCATCTACATACAAAGGTAGAGCATCTTTGAGTGTATTATAACATGGGAAGCTACATCTCTCTTTTGGGGGAGAAAAGTACAAGTCTCTTTGACACCAAAATCACTGCATTCACATGAGGCCTTGTCCTATTACAACCAGTGGTAAAAAAAAAGACACCTGCTGAGGTGTGTCTGATGACAATGTTGTTCTGGTCTAACTCAAGGGAGCTCTCTGGCCCCAAGAGCAGATGGAGATGGGATTCCAACCCCACAGCGAAGGCTGCCACAGCCCTGCCAAAGATGGCTGGGGCCACCCGAGGAGTTGTCCATGTTTACCTTCCCAACTGGTTTATCTGGCTCCCATCTGCTGGCTTTTCAGAGCCCCCAATTTATTATTATCAAGAAAATTGTATTAACTACTACGTGCCCGAGTGAGTAGACAGGCTCAGCCACTGGGAATGGGAAAACAAATTCTCAAAGGCAGCTCTCTCCTCCTCCCTTTCCTCAGGCTTCCTTTTATTTTTAAAGACAGAATCAAAACCAGCCCAGGTCACCCCGCTGCAGGCAGGAGGGACAAAGCCCCAGGATCCTCCTTGCCTGTTTTTAGCCTTTTTCAGGGCTCCAGCCAGATTTCCCAGCTAACAGGGGGAATCCTGCTAATTCTGCACTTGCTGGAATAGCCACAGCTCTCTGCCTTCCTGCTCCAAGCTAAACATCCCCCTGCAATCTCTGCTGGGATGAAAGACAGCGAGTGACATCCCCTTCCTCAACATCCTGAAAAGAGAAAAAGCTCCCTGGTGCCTCTCCCCCTGCACTACTGACTCTTGATAATCTGTGTCTCAGCAGGGGAAATACACAACTTGGATCACACAGTGATCCAAAGACTTCTTTGTGAGATCTGTAGAGGTGTGAACTTCACCTTTGCAGCACTTTTGTGAAGCCTCCATTGCTGAGCCGTACTCCCCTTTAGAGGTGGGGACAGCCTTCCCAGCACTTCTGCTCTGTAAGAACATGGACTTTCTATCCAGGCTGCCTTCATGGAGGCTTTGAGAGGAGAGCTCCTAAATTGAAACCACATTGCCCAACCTGAGCCAGAGCCTGCTGCATGAGCCCTGTCTACTCCCCGAGTGTTTCCAGTGCTGATCGCTTCCCGGCGAGAGCACAGAACAGTAGGGCTTACAGCTCCCGGGAATCTGCCAGCATGGAAACTGTGCTGGACTAACAGCTCACAAACCTCCACCAGAGCTCTGGGACTGTCTTTCGTCTTTGCAGGGTCTTGGTGGGCTCAGAGTGGTCTGAACAGCTCTTTGTGTCTGGAGCTGCTACAAGAGAAACACCTTTCCCTCTTTTTTTTTTTTTTTTTTTTTTTCCTAGAGGAGAAGCTGTTGGGACGTGCTCAGCATCTCGCTCTGTTCTGATAACCCTTTCGGCATCCCTCCATGTTCTGGTTATTCATTTGTTACCCCTGAAATCTGATTCCTGATCTCAGCCCTCTCTTATCAGCCCCTTTCGCCGAGGAGTTCCAAAGTTAGTTTTAATCTTTGCGCTCTTTCTCTGTCCCCGAGGCCTCCTCGTTTGCTGCGGGAGGAGGTGAGTGATAGGACTGACATTCTGGGGGAAAGGGGCTGCCCTCCATTAACTCGCTGTTATCTGTCTATTCATCTGCCCACAAAACAAAGGTGTGATTGTTGCTCCAGCTCACAGACCTGTGCTGGCTTCACTCCAGCTCCCGTGGGTCAGAGGAGCAGAGGGGACAGGGAGACACGGCCTGAGCAAGCCCAGCAATGAGAGGGGTGCAGTGCTGAGGTCCATACAGCCACACCCTGCCTCGCTACTGGCACCTCTGAGTGGGAATGATCCCATCCTAACCACAGCCTGCCTCCCTTTGGATGTACAAACCTGCCCATGAAACACAGCTTGGATTCTGCACCACCCCAGCATCTGGCAAACCCGCTCTGGGCTGAGCTCCTATAGCAATTATATAGGATATAGGGTGCTAGAACATGAGTTCCTTTATCTCTGTTTCCCACATTACACCCTCTCCTAAGGCAAATTGATGCAGCCCCATTGAAGCCGAGGCACTGATTGACACCAGCGGAAGATCTGGCCCCGATTCTGCCCTGCTTTGCCTCTGGGTAGTCATTTACACCTGTTCAGAGTGCAAAAGGCAACAGCAGCAACCGCTGGAGCTCCAATGCACTGAGGTGCCACCCCAGCCCTTCAGAGCCCAACATGCCGTGCATGGATCAGTGGCACAGGGCCCAGTTCCCTTTGCATCTCAGTTGGTTTTGGCGTTGCACAGAGGTATCCTCTCTTCAGCTTCTAGTAAACCTTGAGATCCCTGCCAAGATTCATGAAAGAAAAAGTTGTGACCCAGTTCCTGGAGGGTGACTTAGTGTAAATAACTCTCAGTGGCATGATGACACCCTCATGAAATCCAGCAGCACACTGGTCGGTTCATGAAACACGGAGCTAAGAACCAGTCCTAATCCAACCTTACATGTGAATATCTTTTCCTTTCCTTGCACATACAAAATCCCTGGCAATTTCCGGAAGAGCTGCAGTTGTGCAAGCCAAACAGGGCTTGGCTTACTTTCTGAATCATCACAATAGTGCCAGTTTGCATGGACAACATCAGCTTTTGAGCAAAGCTTGCCAACACCGAAGAAACCTTGATGTCTCAATTAGACCCCAGCTGAGTGCAGCTAAGGGCTTGCCTGGGCTGTCCCTTCAGCCAGCTTTAAAAGCGCGGCCGAAGAGTCTTCAGGCACTGGGCAGACCAGTCTCCACTCACTGCTTGCAGTACACCTGCAAGAACTGACGCTGAACTCTTCTTTGTCATTTTACTGCTCTCAGTCATACCCTGTGCTGTTTGGTGGTCTGTACAAACAATGGCAAAGCTGGACAGCCACCAACACACACCTTCAGAACCTCGTTTTTTCTTGGAGAATCCCAGCCTCTTCTGGTTTTTGACATTGCCACCCACAACCCACTGAAATTACTGCAAGGCCTTCAGAACCAATTTCAAACAAAATGGACCCAGCATTTAAACTAAGGCACCGTGTTTAGATCTGTGGATTGCTTTGGGCTTCTAATTTCCATGGGGATTTGCATAATAAAATACAATAATAGGCTGGGTGAGTACATTGAGCAGTGGCTGTGAGCCAGGAGTTAATGAGCTCCAGACTGTTTAGCCCTGGACAAGTCACTTGACCTTCCAAAGTCACATCATCCCCACCTGTGAAATGGGGATGGCAATGCTTGCCTCACAGGAGTGTTGTGAGAATTAATTAGTTGCTGCTTGTACATCACTTTGATGATGTTAAAAACTACATGCCTGCTAAGTATTGTTATTGTATCGTGGCTGGGAAGATATTGCATTTCGGGCTAAATCCTGCCCTTGGAAAAGGATGTGTCTTTCCCCACATCTTGTGCAAGCAGCATTTATATAACGTTGGTACCAAACATCAACATGCACCTTGTACCTCCAAGGTTGCCAAATCCCTGAAACAACAGCCTGCTGGGAGTCATGTGATGCCCCATCCCGCCACAAACAGCTTTGGGCAGGAGCCCAACTGCAAACTCTTTCTCTCTCTTCCCCCACGAATTGAGATTAGTAAAAGTTTCCATCAGGGATTTCAGCGGTGACCTCAGGTCTGGGGCTCCGTGTGCCACACAGAGCCCAGGCAGCACATGCTGCCGAGGAAATCCTGCCTGGCACAGGGTGCCAGGGACAGCCACGCACATTCCTGCACACCGGAAAGCCATGATAGTTGCAGTGAGATTGGATGGCAGCAGGAAGATGTGAATACACACAGAGCACAGACAGATAAAGGTAAGCTGGGATGGCAGCAGGAAGATGTGGATACACACACGAGCACGGACAGATAAAGGTAAGCTCCCCTTGCCTAAACTCTAAGCCTGAGCTGGGTGCTCCCTCTCCTTTGTACTCCCCTGAGAGGAAAGACCTTGGCATTTGGGCTGAGATGCTGCCCAACTGTGCACAAAGAAAAGAATCCCAGTGGCTGCAATGGGCTACAGCTCTGGATCATTAACAGGCTCAAACCACAGCATGCAGCCTGCTCAAGGCACACATGGGAGTTATGCTTCCAAATTTCACTGACATTCAGTGGAAGTCGGCCAAATGGCTGCCTTTGATTCCTTTGAAGTTTGAGCCATAACTGTTACTGTACCTCAGACGTGTGAACTGCTCTGAGAAGTGTCCCATCTAGACCAGACTGCGATCAAACAGTTCCACTAACCTGAATTTGATGAAGATGGAGGTTGGGGTGAGGCTGATCGGCACCAATGTTATCTGAAAACACACAAACCCCAGAGCCAGCAGTTTGAAAGGGTTAAAGAAGCAGCTTGTTTGGGTGGCTGGTGTACACTAACTATCATTTTCAGTCAGCAAGCAATGACTAGTTAACAGGGCTTATCATCCCCAGCTATGTGAGGAATTACAATAAATGCCTGAAATGCAGGCAGGTTTCCGGCTTAGGTAGGTAAATAATGGAAGTCACTATTTTTGTCTGAGTTGCAAGAATTCCTGTGCACACGAGCTCCCCACCCCCTCCCCACTGTAACACAGAGAACTCCACTCCCTCCTGCTTGGCAAAATGAAGTCCTTTTATGCATCCTTGGGACTTCTGCTTTGTCTGCAGAAGTAGCCGACTCATGATTTCCTTTTTGATGGAAAGCCAGAGGTTACATTTTCTGCATTCATTTGTTTTAAATACTGCCAGAACGCAGCGACCTAAGGATGAGCAGAAGGAGATATAAGCTGCTCTGAGACAGGGACTGTGTGATTTGTAGGGAGAAAGTAACAAAAGAAGCAACAAGAGCATAATTCTGGTGTTCCCAAAATCTGCTAGCAATCCTCCCCTTGCTTTCAGGTGACATGAGGCTTCACCTCTGCATCACCATCCCATGCTGAAAATACTCCCAAACTATTCAGTGATTCAGCTGCTATTCCAACAGCCACTGGAGAAAACTTCTGGCTGCATCTGCAGGACAGAAATAGGATAAACTTTGGATAGCACTTAGTAGTAAATAGGGAATAAAGTCATTACAGCTGATTCTCATCTAGCCCAAGGCCCTTGTTCCTGCCCTGGCATCCCCAGGCACGTGCCTGACCTGGCCTCTCTCGGTGGCCCCTTTGAGGTCTGTGCGAATGCCGGCCGAAGGAAACAGTGGGAGGGGAATCAGGGTGGGATCCTGAGCCTTGAGAAGTCCCATGTTGAGCTGGCCAGGCTCCAGGCTGGTCCAGCAGTGCCTCAGCCCCGGTGAATGCACGCACTGTTTGTGCAGCACTGCTGGGGGAAGCCCGGTGGAGCCTGGAGACGGTGGGGGCATGGAAGGGTTAAGCAGCGGCAGGGCTGGAAGAGTGTCCTCTCTCCCTGCTCCACACATGCCATATTCCTTAGCAAAGTGAACATATTAACACTGGCATGCTCCCACACACCGCCTGGCTCTGCTCCAGGAAATCATAACCCAGCTATTTGGCACACAAGGCCACAATTTTATTTACACAATCAACTTCTTGATAAACACAAAACTTACAAAATATACCACGCCCTTCAAATAAAAAATGAAAACGTGTCGGGGAGAACATCAGTAACCTGACCTTCTCAGCCAGAAGGGCCAACCGGCTTTGAGTTGATACCCTCATCCCAACAAAACCACCTGTGGATCCATGAGGGTTTGCCCTCCCAGGGTTCTGCGTGGGGGCATGTGGGTGCTCTGCAGGGCTAGGAGCTGCCAGAGGGATTGGGGCTGACCCAGGCAGGTTTCCTCCTCCTGGACCCCCATCCTCACCTCCTTGCCTGGTGCCAGCAGAACCCCTGGCCAATGTAGCTGTCCTCTTGGGAAGGGAAGAGGGTCCTACTCCACCAGTAACCCCAAAACAGGAGAAGCCAGACTCCTTTACTGCCCTTCTCCTCTTCCTGATGTGGATCTTGTTAGAGGGGTCTCTGTGTCTCTGTGAACATCATAATTTTCAACTCTATGTCCTCCAGTCACCAACTGCAAGTGGAAGCTGTAGGTTTTATTTTGGGAGGAAAAAAATCTGATTTAATGTGGCAACCAGATTTTCTGGAGACATATCCCACTTGCCAGAGCACCAGTCAGTTCAGCTGGGAAGCAAGGAAGGTGGGAAGCCCAAACCTTCAGCAGCCCCCCAGGGCACCCACTGCCTTAGGGGAAGTTCTAAACATGAGATAAGCTGCCTCAGCCTTGCAGTGAACTGGGAGGCACAGGTACGCACGATGCTGGTATCTGGGGTCACCTGAGCTCAGCTCCACCACCTTCTCCTTCACCTTTTGAGCTCACATGTTTCCACTGACCCTTCAAAGCAATTGTCTTACTTGGCTACCTGACAAAGGGCTCCCATCCTCAATCCATCGACTCTGTAGGCCCTGGAGACCAGGATGGCATCCAGTGCAAGCTCTCCAAGGGCCAGACCTAATGGTTGTTCTGCTGAGCTTTACACTGGACACACAAAAACAAGAAGATGCTTAAATATTGCCTAAATCCCACTTGAGAGAAAATGCAAGAGAAAAAGTAATGGACCAAGAGTATTAAACAGATTTATACTGGCTGAGGATCTGGACATATCTGCTTTATTCCTTGCAGATAAAAAGATCTGCCTGAGGCTAATGAGCTTTTGATAGTTTGGGAAACAAAGATTAATTATTTTAATTTTTTTTTTTTTTATTATTTTTCCCACAAATAGGAAGAGCCACCTTCAGATACCTGAGACACACTGCAGTCATTTAGAGAGATAAACATCTTGATTCCTAGAGATAACAGGCGCTGAATGGTTGGCCTCAAAACCAAGCATTCGTGACAACTCTCGAAACAAGAACACTATTACTCTCCATTTCCACAACAATTTACATACAACTGCAAAGAAAACCCTTCTCCCTTTGCATCTGGGAAATGCACTGTAAACACATTACCCGAAGCCTTGCCATGGTTCCCGAACACCTGGAGGTGGATGGGTGAGCAGGTACCCTGGTTTGCTCTCCTGGAAGCAGCTCAGGTTGGTTGCTTTGGATGACCTGGCTGCCATCGATACAACCATCGAGATGGGAAAGAAGGACCCCTCCCAGGAAAGGACAGGAACACTGGAGAACTGAGCCAAGGCCAAGGGAAGAAAGTATTCAGGACTTGGGCAAAAAGCACTTCCAGGGAGTTTCTGAAATAATCTAGTTGTGATCTGCCAGACATTTTGTCTCTCTTCACAGGTTGGGTCCACCCAAGCAGATCCCAAGCGTGATGGAAATTTCCCAGGTTCTTCACTACAAAACAACTGTCGTGCATTCACTCCTCTCTCTTCCTCCCCAAAATGGAGCAGCTGAAATGAGCCACCAAAATCTGTCAGAGGAGATCTTATTTTTGCCTTATCCACTCTGTAAGGGTCTTGCACACAGCACTGTAGCAAAACACTTGCAAATAGTAATTTAGATCTGTCTGCTACGTATTCAGCTGCACATGAACAAAAGGCTGTCCTTGAACAAAACGCTGTCCTTGTACTGTGAATAATTTCCCCAAATACCAGATGTTGCCTGATTTCTCCAGAATGTCCAACTCCTACGATTTTAGAGCGAGTGGTACTACATACAGTGGCTTTCCACTAAAATAATTTTCATACCTAAGGACCTCATCTCTCATTCAAAGTCAGTTTTTATCCTCTGAATACAAGGAGCTGTGTCTCTGATGCAACAACCAGGAGGCAACACTCACCCAGCTCTGTGTACTAAAATCTGAAGCCAGTCTCAAGATTACAGAGTTTTGGATGCTAACATGACTACTGTCATAAAAAGGAAGCAGGGAGAGTGAGGGCCCAACCTAGAAGTATCTCAGCTCTGCCAGCAAGGACAGGGACCCTCAAGCTGAGGGACCTTTCCAACAGCAGCACTGATGATTTCTCAGGAACGGGCTCCAAATTAACCTCATCAAGACTATTTCAGAGCCAGAGAGGGCAAGATGTGGAGGAGGAGGAGGAGGACTTCAAGGGTGCTTTCAAACGAACTGAATCAGAGATTTACCCAACCCCACTCTTTCAGAAGTGTCTGAATAACGCACCAGCCTGAACCACTGGAAAGAAACAAATAAATGAGTTGGCAACTTTCACAGGGAGGAGCCTTGAAGCCCAGTTCCCAAGACCACGCCAACCAGCTCCGTGTGACAGCATACAGGAATGAAAATAGGTAGGTAACATTAACAGAAATACACTGAAACTTAATAACAGCAGCTTGTCAGGACACGCACCAAAGAGAAGTGGCTCATAACAGCTCCAGCCTGTATTATGAATGTTTCATAGCCACCTGGCTAACAGAGCTGCCTGAACTCAGCTCAGCTGGTGTGTGCTGTGCTAGCCCACAGTGCACACTCTGCAAGGAGACTGCCCAGCTCAGCTTGGGCATCTGTGTTAAAAAGAGACACCATTTCTCTTGTCAGACTGAAAAATGCCTTAGAATAACAAGGCAGCAATGGACAGAGCTGAAGAGCTAAGCTGTGTCCTCCTCTGGTGGCAATCAGGGAGGTTTGCTTGGGATGAACAGAGTTATCCCGATTTACACCAAGTATCATTGTAGTTGTAAACCCATTGTACCAACCTCTTCTTGCTTCAGTCAGAACTTCCCTGTGTCTATCAGCAGCTTAAAGCAAAGGCACAGTTTAAAAGCAAAAGCCATCCCCCTGCCTTTCCCCTCCTGATCTGATTCGCATACAAAATGGGCTTATGAACTCAAAAATTATGGGAGGGATTTGGGGAGGAGGAAAGGGAGACACAAGAGCCCTTTTATTTTGCGTCTTATTCACAATGAAAATTGGCACAGAAGCCAACCACATACATTAACATAGTTTGGGCAAGTTTAACTCTCATGAATACATTTCTGTGGAAAAACTATGTGACTATGGAAAAATCCCCTCTTTTTTGCCATTTGAAAAGATAACAGGCTTCTATGTGGAACATACCCAGAACCTGCCTAATTCAGAGACATGGAAATACAAAGATGAATAAGGCTGAGTTTCCCATGCTAGGGGCCCATGGAAACTGAGAGGGGAGGAAGAAGTAAGGAGGCCCATTGACTCGGGAGAAGGACTTTCACCCTACAGGTGAAGGAAGCATTTGAAGGCACCAGCAACATTGCAGGCCTGTTCCAGAGCCCATCCAAGTCACTGACAACATCACACTGACTTCATTGGGATGCGAGTTGCAGCTGAACATTTTTAAAATATAATCCAAGGCTATTTCCATATCACTGTGTAATGAGTGGGATCCAAAACAGATCAAGTGACATACCTGCCTTTTGTCCATATTTCTGGCTGCTAGTGTGGCTGCTCTTTGGGCTCTAGGTCTCCATATTGCACTGAGGAAGAGTCGGGCTCGGGACCTTTTGGGAGGTCTGTCTCAGACTGTGTGCACACCAGTGCACCCATATCCAAGTCAGGCAACCTGGAGGAAGGAAGCTTTGGCCAAATGTACTGGGGCAAACTGCATCTTTCCCCTCCCCTCCTGTATCTCCACTGCCCCTCTCCAAACTCAGGCTGAGGAGGGCTCTCAGTGGGAGCTGGAGGATTCACCAGGAGCCGTGGGCATATCCACTGGACAGGGTAAGCATTCCTTTGTTTGATGATGTAAGTGCACCTGGCACCCAAAATCTGGAATTTAAAGCTAGCCCAGCCACAGGACTTGCTCTGGGATCCTCTGGCCCAATTGCAGTCCAGATACACCTTAAGATTTCTGCAGAATTTCAGTTATACAAAAATAGTGGCTCACTTCATACATCCCTAACTGCAACCTTAGAGCTACTGCCATTGCTGTAGAAAAACTCTTCTTGTTTCCTCACTGGCACTGTGCTGTGCTACTTCTGCTCCAGTGCCACATTCCTGGTAGAGGATGGAAACCCCAGAAGGACTATTTTCTTTTGAATGAACCACTTTGCTTTATTATTATTAGCCTATCAGATACAATAGTTTGCATGGCAAGTCCTTCATCAGATCACTTCAGAAGCATGTCACTGCAGTAGGCCTTTAATATCATGCTAATTTGTTTCATAAATTACTAATTGAACCCTTTAAATGACTCATATTGGTATGGAGAGTCTTACCATAGAGAAAACTTGGTGATCTCAGAAGAGGGCACATCACAGAACTATCCTCCCCTGCTATGTAACACAAATTAAACAGCAGGGCAGGAGCAGGACGGGGAATTTTCCTGCCCAATTAGCAGTTCAGAGACCTTATCACTGTGAGGAATCTGAGTCCCACATCCATCGCACCTGCCTAAAGAGGGAGTTTCCACTGATGTCAGAGTGTGGAAGAAGCGAAGGGTACAGACCCACACACAGAGGGCAAAGCATCTGCAGAGCAGATCGAAAGAGAACGTTCTTCCTCTGGGACAAGTGCATCCATAGGTCTGGTGCTTTAATGACACCTGCCACACATTGCCACTGATGTCATCGCTGAGTCTGTCTCCACTGGACAGATGGGGTTTGACTGGCACCAGTAAGCAGGATTTTTCCCAAATTGTCCAATGCTGGCCCCTTCCAGCCATATAAGATGCTGTCTTTGCTTTTTCCAACACAAGCGCCTCCAAAGACAACCTAGAAACCATGTCACACCTTGCACTGGCTCGGCAGCTGGGGAAAGGTAACTGATTACCTCAGGACTGGTTCTCCAAAGGCACAACTCTGTTGTACTGGACTGGAGGGAGGTCAGAGGGCTTCAGGCAGGTTTGTCTGACTGACCTGCTGTTTTTCCCTCAGAGCCAGCCTCATCACCTCTTGCCTTGCAGCAAAGGATGGTTTTTTCCCTCACCTAAATCCCAACAATGCTGGTATCTACACCTGCTCAGCCACATTCACCTCCCACCAGAGTTAATGGAGTGAGTAGTCATTTCTGGGGAGAAAGCCACCTGGCCTACAGCAGATGCCTCCCTTAGGATGAGATCACTATCACTCCCGGGCAGCTGGGAAGGCCATTTAGCTGTACCTGTCCTCATACAGCCAGAGGAATCCCACCCCAGGTGAGTGGTCACATGATGAGCTGCTGCAACAAGTGAAAAGCACTCTTGTTTTGCACATCAGCCTGGCCTTGTGTGCATCTAAGCTGCATTTTATGACTGAACCTAGACCGGGGAACCTGCAGCTGATCCTGCACCTCCATAAGCAACAAGAGCATGAAGACCTCCACGTGTGCTCCAGCACAAAGGCTTGTCACAGAACTGCTCAGCCAGGTTCTTACAGGTAGACATAAAGCCCCAACAGGGACCTCTACAAACACCTCTGCTGGTCTCCTGCAGTCCTGGGCAGTGTTTCACCCGCAGACTTCTGGAATTAGAAAGCTAACATGGTTCCCTGGTATAATTACAGATAATCCCATTGGATTCAGCACCACTGGTTAACCAAACATGCATTAGCTCCTAAGAGAAAGACATTATTTATTTTACCCACACAAGGCTTATCTTGTAGTAGCCATCGACTTTCCATGGAAAGATCCTGCTCTACTGCTATACACCAGTCATTAGAGGCAGCTTCTAAACTTTAATATCTCCAAAGGAACAATAATTGTGACCCTTTCAATATTTTATATTTACAGACAAGCAGAATGAACTCGCTGGAGTCAGCAGGTGGTGTATGTTCAGCTGCTCGGAGCAATATTCAGCTTCCCTGTTCCCAGCAAGGGCAGCTGCCATCAGGGAAGCAGTGCCCTGTGAATGTATCATTCAATGGGTAAAGAGCCCAGTTTGTATGGCAGACATCAAAGAGAACTGTAACATGCAGATGTTTTCCATGCAGAGGCTGAGAAAAGTGATGGCCAAGACCTTGTAAATCCCATGCTGTGTTTTTCCCTTCGTTTTCTGCCTTACATCCCCCATTTCCTTGCTTTTTCTTACATGGAAGAATGATACCATTAAAAATGATGTATATAAATTATATCCTTAGCTGATATAATTTGCTGTGACTCCACAGAGCTCTGGCTGTTTATACAAGTTGCAAATTGCTCCCATCAATTTAGATCTCTACAGATTTACATCACGGGCAATAGCACTATATTTTCCCCCATAATTAATAAGCTTCTTTAAAAAAAAAAAAAGACAAACAACCCACCCTTGACACCCATTAAACTTGCATTTGGAGATAAAGACTTCAGAGGATGCCTTCTCCCACCCTATCTCACGTCCTTCATCCTGCTCCTCAGTTTATCGGAGGATCCTCCCAGTGCCACTTGAGCCAGAGCTGAGCTGAGTTACCAGAGCCCATGGATGAAGCCATGGCTGGATCTGCTCCCTTTTCATCTCCCCAAGTAATGCGGTGAATACAACCCATCCCAAATGTCCCTGAGTCCTGATGAGGACAGAGCCCTCTTCACTGCCACCCAGGCTCACTCATGGGATGTAGGTTAAAATTCCTGCTCTGTTTCATCCAGGGCAGCCAGTTCAATGCACAAGTCCCTCTGCCCAGGTGAATTCCTTACTCAGTAAGGTAAAAGATATTTTTAAAAAGTTCTCCTTCCCTCTCATTTTCATTTCAAGAAACATTTCATCTCCCTATGGAATAAAAACACACTTTGGAATTTCACCATTTTCCATACAATGAAATTCTTGCGTTCCCCTTGCCCTGAGCAGAAGCACCACCACTTCTGCAGGACACACTGCATTGTGCTGTGACTGTGCTGTCCTGCAGAGACACACAATGAGTTCCATGTGACACTGCCCACTGACCTCCCCCAAAACATCCCTCCCATGAGTGAGTGCCAGCCTGTGCACACAGCACCCGGAGACACACACTTCCCATCAGGAAGCAGTTTGTGGAGCCATCTGGGCAGCTTAAACACTTCAGAGCACTCCAGAGCATTAACTCTTTGGCTGGACAATACGCTGACTGAGCTTGGGTTTGGGATACACTGAATTATCCTGAAGAGCCAGGTGACTCAAGTGCCAAATTCCTGACCACATTTACTAATTTAATTTGACCACTGAAGTTCCCCAGGCTTTTTTGGAAGCCCCAGTTGCGATTCCAGGAACCAGTACGTCCAAAGCGATCCCACGGGTTGAACGCTGTCATTAAAAGCATGACCTGTTCCTGCTTGAGGCAAATGATGGAGTCCCTGCGGGGTGCAGTGAATTGGGTGCTGTCTCACCCCCCCCCCACAATGGCTCTGTACGATGGAGCAAGACCCAAAACCACTGGAGATCTGAGGCCACAGTAAAAGCTTCTTCCCATAAAAGCTGAGCTTAATGCTTCCTGGTCACCTGAAAGGCATGTTGCAGATACATTTTCTGGATGAATTTAGGAGAGACCAACCAACATGACCAGGAGTTGGAGCTCACAGTGACCAAGGAGATGCTGATTTGTTCAGCTTCTAGAAGAGAAGATGAAGGAGAGACCTTATTCCTGTCTCAGCTACCTCAGAGCCAGCACCAAGAAGGTAGAGCCAGGCTCTTCCTGAGGGTGCACAGCTCTGCTTGGTACTGACACTTTGTGTCTCCTGGAAGGCCCCCAGGAATGCTCTCCTTTAACCCCTCCTCTGCACCATCATGTGTACACGCCACTCTGAGTGCTGCTTTCCATCTGATCTCCTGCTCCGAGATCAACGTTTCCCGCCTGTTCCTCTTGCCCCCAGCCTGCTAACTTGCTGGAGGGTTACTCTGCCTCTCCAACAGTCCCCATCCCACTTAGCCTGTATCCTGGGATTTTCTTTCATGAAAAAGGCACTGTAAGGGCTGTGGACCCTGTGATTTACACTTTTTCATCTCCTGCAGAAAGCCTGCCATGGATGTGATGATACCATTCAGCTCCGTTTACCTGAGAACTTAAAAAAATACCATCGGAGGTTGTTTTTTCCATATGGGTAAATAGTAGGGGTGGGAGTATTCCTTATGGGAAACCTGGAACAGTCGCACTCTGTCGGCCTGACATTTCCTGCTGTAATTGAAACTTTTGATGTGAAAAATTCCATTTACACAGGGTCTCTCTAAGCCAGGCAGGGAGGAGGGCAGAGGTGGGCTCAGCGTTAGCACACGGGTTCCCCAACACTTCCCCAGTGCAGCCAGTTCAGCTCTAGCAGGTGAGACGTGGAGATGTAAGGGAGGGAATATGAGGAAGCAAATACCAGCTGAGTTAGGTAATTTGGGTCAGAGGAAGCCAGGCATAGCTACAGGGGCAGGTACAGATCAAATCAACTGGAGTCTGGGTCTCTGCATCTGCCCATGTCCCTGCAAAGGAGGGCAGGGAGAGGTGCTCCCACGTGGTCCTGTGCTCGCAGGGGGTGTTGTGCCTTGACCATCCGGGCTCTGCCCTGAGAGGATGGAAAAACAGCTCCCTCGGAAGTGATGGGGACCAGTGGGGAGAAATAACTTTGCCTTCCTGCCGGTTAAAGGATGTTTCACTGAGTGTCTTTAAAATTCCCATACAGTGTTATACAACCTAACTCTCAAAGAAATCAGCCAAACAGCCATGTTCTAACCTAAATCCCAGCCTTAGGAGTAAATCCAAGCAGAGCAACCCATTGCTGCCAAACATGGGCTTATCCCTTCAGCAATTGCAGACCCCACCACAACCCTACACCTGAGGACCTGCATTAACCTGCTCCCCACCCAAGCCAGCCCCCCAGCCCCAGCCAGTGGCAGCTCAGTTTATCCACAGGGATTCTTCCAGCTGGGGACACAGCTCATGGCTCCACAGGGGATTCACTCAGTACGACTCACCAAGCACTCAAATCCTACCTCACCTCCAGCCCCACCCCACCCCGGGAGCTCCTGTCATTGCCAGCCCTCAAGGAGCCAGATGCCCACCCTCCTGCTCCACGAAACCTCTGGCAGGCTCTCCAAGGGGTGAGCAGCAGCAGCAGCAAGAACCATCAGAACGCCGGGATCAACCCCAGCTCCCACCAACAGCTAACACAGGAATAAGACAAAGCACAGGACAAGATGGAATCCCTGTGAGTAATGGACATAATTACATTAGCTAGGCAAAGTAACTTTATGTTAAGAAATATTTTTGGCATGCCATGAAAAGTTTAAGTCCTGTCACACCCCAACAGTTACAAAAGTCAAAGGCAACATAACATGAGCTTTATTTTAACTGTTACATGCATTTGCATAAAAATGCTTCTTCAGAATGATAATGCAACTGCGCTTCCCTGTTTCGTGTTTTCTGCTGGTTTCCCTTTTGATGCAACTTTCTTGCACCCTCAAAGGCACAAAGGAGAACAGGAAACAGTTCTGCCTGAGACTCTTTCTCAGGCACCATCAAAAATAAGGCTCAATCCTTTGAGCTTCTCTCACACATCCAAAGACAAGAAAGTAAAAAACAAAAAAAAATCTAAACAAGTACCTAGACTAAGCAGTCATTTCTGAAAATCTGGCTTTTCACTGCCAAATGTGACTCTGACCCTCCAGCCATGACAGTGACAGACACCATAACAAGCAAATTACATTCCTCATTATTCTTCCTAGCAATCCTTGGGAGCAATGGGCAGCACAGGGCAAAAAACCTGGGCTGGATGTACAGAAACAGCAATTTCAGCATGTGACAAATGAGTTATTTGAACAGCCACTAAGATTAATTTGCTTTTCTAACCCTATAACTTATATGACAAGTGACTATAAACTCAATCTTCTCCTTGGGTTTACACAAAACAGTTCATTCAGAAATAGAAGCACAGAAAATTTTAGTTCTCAGAAACACTAAAATGCATTTTATTCCACTGACTCTCTCAAACTCTGTCACCAAAGCAGGCAAAACCCCAAAGTTAACAGTTGTTACATTTTAATGTTAGAGCTGATATACAGACGCTCATCTTTATTTAAATATTTAATTTAGATATAGCTGGAGAAGTCTGAGTTTCTCCATTCAACAAACTGCTTCACTTTTAAAATCACTTTCTTTTTTTTTTTTTTTTTTTTTTTTTTAAACCAAACCAAACCAAAACTTTATTTTGGTTTCTCCTGCCTTATTTCTGCTTAATGGGCTGGCAGAGCACTGCAGAACTTCAGCAAGTACAAATACAGTGGTCCTCAGCAAATAGCCAGGGGGAACCAAGAAAGATCTTTATCTATCTTGATCTTATATTGATCTTGATTTTTTTCCAGCTGGAAGAAAGGAGAACTCCCAGTGTGCCACTAGCAGAAGGCACATACCTAGAATTATCAACTGTGAGATAAACAGAAGAGTCTGAGGAGGAAAATGAGATACCAGGTAAGTAAAAAAAAAAACGGAAAGTGCTGCCAGGAACCAATGGCAACACTCAGCCTACGAGTTGTTGGAGTGTCTGGTCTACTGCTATGGGTAAACATTTGTCTGAATGACAGTACATGGTGTAAAATCATGTGAGATGGGCCAGAACTAAATCATGATTGATGGGCCTTGGAAGAGCAGGACCTGGCTCTCCAAGGTTGGTTTTGCAACCTTTGATCTTTATAGCCACGCATTATAAAGCGGTTTCAACTTGTAACTAAATTCCTAACATACTCAGCTGTAAAATCCAGACATATCCTGAGTAATAAAACAAATACATAAACTGCAACCTAGGTGAGAGTCATCTTTTACTGTCACTTAATGCTGGAAACACCTCGAGCTTGTTACACTACAGTCAATAGGAAAACATCACTTTAAGAGCAGCATGAAGGGATTTGGGCTGGAAACAAATTAACTGGGCAGCACAGCCTACATGAGTAATCCTATCTGGATCCCCAGCTTCCAGTGCCTCCAAAGAGCATCAGGAGCAGGCACCTTTCAGAATGTTACACGTACTGTAACTGTACTGCACGATGCTCATGAAATCCATCTTCTATCAGCCCGTGTATCAGAGCCACGGGCCCTCTGCAAAAACGTCATCCTGCCAACTGGGGATATCACCAATAAATCAAGGCAGTTGCACAAGCCACAACTTAGGTGGCATTAATTAGATCAGTGGAAGTTATGATCCAACATAATTATCTTGTTACCCCACCTACGTTTAATTTCAGTGTTTCTTCCTATCTCTGCCCCAGAGGGTCCACAGGGGAGTTAAATACATGCTGCAACAGTGTCGGTCTCCAGAGGCAGCAGAAAGAGCAAGGACTGGTAATTACAGGAGTGCAAGTCAGGGGAAGGGGACTATCGTGAGATGTGATCAGATATTGTTCAACAAGGGGAGAGAGAAAGAAATTCACCCTTTGCCCTTTGCACACCTCGGAGCTCTGCAGCTGTACATGAGGTCTAGGTTTTGTGTTGCCTGATCTGACCCACCAGTCCCCATATAGCAAGGTGTGCTCGTAAAGAAATCACTGTAAGCACATGGAGAGTCTTAAAAAAACCTGATTTCTCAGAGTCTTACACACCATTGACAACGGCCTGAACAGCACAGCCCAGGAGAGGGGAAGCAAGGTCAATGTACTGGGGTGGGACTTGTGGCATCTCTGACCACATCTACAGCAGCAAGTGCAGAACAGGAGGCACAGATACACAGAGAGAAACAGTCAGTGCTGGGGACCTGACATCCACAGGGGACATTTCCATTCCATACATGTTTTGTTCAGACTAGCTGCAGTCTAATGGCAGCAGCAACCAGCACGAGCTGGCCCATGCCAGGTGCAGCCCTAAAGCCATTCCAGAGGAATCCCGTTTGATGTCCTCCATGACTGCTCTGTGACATAAACGTGCAGTTTAGTGGGGATTACTGGGAGACTCCTGTCAGAACCGTTAGCCAAATAAAATACTAATGCCAGTGTTCCCCTCAGAGGTATCTCCATCCTGGGCATGGCCAAGTGTCTGGGGATACACATGTGGTGACACCCACTCAAAGCTGCAGGGATCTCTGAGGTGGCTACAGAGACAGAGTTGTAGCCATGTGGTCGAGTCAGAGTGCCACTGTGCCCAGGCTATTTTGTCCTGCTGCAATAGCCCAGGTAACACAAGATGTGGGTCTGCACAGGGTGACACGAGTATCCCCAGACAGCAGAGCACAATTTGGCTGCACCAGCACGTGGGCAGCATCTCCCCTGTGTAGAGGTTTTCTGCCAAGAATCCCCCAAAATGCTCTGTTTTAGCAAGTCATATGGTTCTCTTCTTTTTTGTCCTTTTTTCTATGCATCTGCTCTTCCCTACACTTACAATAAAACATTTTCCATTGACACTGTGCAGGGCTCTCTTAAAAAGATCTTGGTGTAATCAGGTGTGTTCCTAGCGAGCTCCAGCCTGTGGTACAAAGCCCCCACTGTTGTTCAGAAGGCTGTTCACTAGTGTTCACTCAACAGAAGAGACCAACAGTTGGCAATATCCACCAACCCTGCATTTGCTTGTAATTAAAGAAAGGTCAGGAGCTGTGCCTTTCTGAGAATCACACACCTTTGCATGGCCAAACCCCAAACATATACAAATCTCACAATGGAAACATCCAGGAACATGAAACACGAGACATGAAAAATATTAAACAGCCAGCTGTGTGAATCTGTTAAGGTTTGTGAAACCAATTTTCCCCCATGGTTGGGTACAGAACTGCTGAGATAGTATTTGGTACCTCACAGCAAAAGCTGTTGTGTTCCAGTTTTTTCATGCCTCGCTGCTACAGAAAGGCCCTGATTCACACCACTTCATTATCTTTCCTCATTTTTATAGGCAGCCAGAGGGCATGCTGGATCCTCAGTTTGTTTGTCTGGATCCACTCATTAGTAAATTACGTGTAGTGAGCAATGACATGCATCTGGACATTTAGTCTGCGTAGATTCTTTAACATTCAAATCAGTTGTGCTACTTCGGCAGAGAGCAACAGATCTTTCTGAAATGTGACTTTTTTTCTTTATGCTTTTGTATTTCTTGGAGCCAGAACATCAGAGGAGAGGAATTGCCAAAGAGCAAGAACGAAGGGGAAGAAAGAAAAGCAGGAGATTTCTCCCTGGAAGTGCTGTCAACAATTCCTTTGCTGTGGACACAAGGATCCACAGCCAAGACCACGGCCACATTCTGGTGACAACCTGAGTGGCAGCATTTACAGTTTTGGCTGTACAGACAAATAAGAAATACCAAAGAAAAACGTGGGTATTTAGATATTCAGCTAGGAAATTTGCAGCAATGTTGAATGCAAGCCTGGTGTGTGGGTCTGGAAATCTGGAAACAGAAACCCCCTAGAAATTTGCTTTTAAGGACCAAGCCTTCAATTCCCACCTGTTTCTCTTGTGGTGTCACTACATACAATTTGCTACTGTAATAAAGGGAAATGGGACAGAGAGGGACAGATACAGGAGACAAGCAATGCATGAGGTACTTCTGGCACACACCCCTTGGAGACCACAGACAACACAACCCCTGCTCTGCTTTTCCCATCAGCAGCTGGGTACTGCAGAGAAGGTAGTTAAAAATGTCTTCTAAAATAGCTTTAAGGATTGGAAATCTGATAAGGCAAATACAAGTGGCAAAGCTCCACTGACGTCAGTGAGACTTATATAAGGGAAGATTTTGTAATGGTAAAAGTAATACTGGAACTGAAAAGTCCTGCACACTGAACAAGGAAGTTTTTCAGGTTAACCTCAACACAAGCCACAGATTTGCCCTCAAAACAATTTCCCCCCTGCCCTGAAAATAAAAACTGAGCTGGGACTATTTCTGCAAAAATTGTTGCTTTGTGTGTACAATCACACCAGCATAACTCACTGCAAAGCTACTCATTAACAGGTAAAGGAGATCCTAATACAGAATGATATTTTTAAATATGAATTTTGAATTTCTACATATGAGAGTTTTAATGAAAAGATGTGACTGTGAAATGCAGTACATTTAGCCTGTCCTGGGACAATATGGTGTAGGAGTCATTCTTTTTTGGTACAATTCTTCTTTTCAGGGCCATTGAGTAAGTTGGTGTGAATTAACACTGGTCATTTGAAATCAATGGGAAAAAAATGGAGCTATGCCAAATGACATCAGTGAAAGATCCAGCTTTTTGACTTCAAGTTATCCTCAGTTAACACTGGCGTAATCAGAAAAAGGCGACATTTACTTCTCTGCCCAATGAAAATAGCCTGGGTATTGGCTACTTTCAGAGAAGTGCCTGAAAACATTCCACAAGCCATGAATTATTCACAGTATTAAACAAATAATTGTGACTAGTAAATAAATATTTGAAAGTAATGGCTGGTCCATACACCATTCAAACTTAGTGTAAGGGGGAGATATTCATCATATGAATTACCCATTAAGAATTATTGGCTCAGCTCTACTTATAACTGATAAACAGTCATGTGGATAACAAGGCAAGTGTTTGGCACGTCTCCTGCTCTCATTCCCAGCAATATGGCTCCTTTTTCAACACAGACACATAAGCTCAATTATTTATCCCCCTCTTCCAGAGAAACTAAACTGCCTTCCATGCACCTGAAAGGCGAGAGCTGCAGCGCAGTTTCCCCAATCCCAACTTGTCTGGTTAAATTCCAGGTCAGGCAACAGCCCTCTGACAGAACCACATTCCTGCTGTAGTTTCAATTACCTAAATTATTCTTCACCTCCTGTCCTAAGCATGGGCATATTTTTGATGGCCTGGGCTGGGAAATGTGAATGCAAACTGCTACCAGATGTAGGGAGGAGGAATGATTTCATTTGGAGGCATTGGCCTCTGAGTCAAAATACCTGAGTCTCTGCTGTGCCACAGGCTTTCTGTAAGCCACTTAGGCCCAAATCCCCCAAGGTATTTAGGCTTTTAACTCCTATTCGTTTCAGTGAGAGTTAAAAGCCTAAATACCTCCATGGATCTGGGTTTTAGCCTCTGTGGTTATGTCTACACAGCACAAGGGTATCCACAGTACCGAGCAGGTACATCAGAGCTGACTCTTAACACCCTGGCTCTGGTAGAGGAGCAATATCCTGGTGCTGGGCTGCTCTTCAGCCAAGAGTGGAACATAATCTGATCGTGGACAGCCCTCACCACAGCGTTCCCAGGGCCTAGCCTGGGTACCTCCACACAGCACTGCCTTCTGCTGAGTGGGGACAGCCACGTGCCCCAAAATCACACTGCAGTTTGGGTCACAGCCTGCCCTGTCGGGATACAGGGAGAATGAGGGCATCCCATAAAATCGGCATGGTGGGCAGCATGGAAGTCACAGGCAGCCAGCACGTTTGGTTCTGCTGAACGATCCTACATATTCCATTTTAATTCAGCTTCCACTGGCCACAGAAAGGCAGTAGGGGGCTGTGCAACATGGTCCCACTTAAACATCCAGCATCTTTCGCTTCTAACACCAGCACAACATCTGCCTGCGTCTCCAAAGACAGTCAGAGCAAATGGTTAACGTGCAGTTATGGGAGTTAAAAAAGGAAATGCTTTGCTGCTGTTCTGTTGTCAGTTTTGGCAAGCAGCACCGGGGAAGCGAGACACTGATAACATTGCTTTATTGTTCGTGTAGGTCCCAACCTTAACATGCTACATCTGTATCTTCTGTCTCAAGAAGTTGCTTTCTTTTCATCAAACACATTCCAGAAGTCAACAGTAAAAGCACTGACAAGAGACAGCAGATTGATCCATTAACTCTCACTCACTGCTAACAGTTCCTTGGCTGAAACCGGACCCTGCATTCCACTTGGGAAGATTTGGTGAGTTCAGGACGTAAACACGCTCCCAGGATTTGGTTACTGCTGTCATGCACTGCAGCTCCTGCCTCAGTGGAGCAGGAGGTGCTGGGAATCTCTACAGGTGCTGTACCTCTTACTTTATACATACAGCAATTAAGCAACAAACAGGACAGGCCCAACAAGTCCTGTGTGCCTTGTGCTAATATTATACTGCATTCTCAGTTAGTGCTAATCAATGTGGTTGCAATGAAGGATATTACAGCTCACAGCCCGTTCTAATATGGCTAACAATAATAATAATAAAAAATAATAATAACGCACTCTCTCTTCGCCAGAAAAGATGCAATTAAATGAGCACATATTTTCCCTTTGCAGACAGGCCCTTAAGCATCTTCCTTTTAACAGCAGATAAAATGAAGTCTTGCCTGTCACGGCTTTGAATTTGGTTTGCAAACCCAGCCTTTATTTTAAGTCAGAGCTATCCAACAATGCTCCTTTGTGGAACTATTATTCTCCCCCCGCCTGACCGAAGCTCACAGGGTCTCTGCCCACTGACCAGCTCTCCAGTGCACAAATCGCCACTTCTCACACTTGTGCTCCCAAAGCTGTGCAGCCCAGTGCGGGCTCGGCTCCATGTGCGGCTCTCTGCCCCCCTCTACTGACTGCCACTGTCGGTCCCGGTCCAATTCCTGCGTCCAGGGACTCCGCCTGGGATGCTGTTACCCTTGGAGAGGTGACAATACACGCAAGATGCTGGCTTATCCTGGGAAGAAGCTGATTTTTCCTACGCAGCAGCTGGACAAACAGGGTTTTGTTCAAGCAGGCCTCCGAGTTCGGCCTCTGCACTGCTCACAGAACAGAACGGGGTTTTGTGCCGTGAGGTTTGACACGGAGGTAAAACGTGGCTGCGGATTCCAGTCAGTCCCTTAACACTGGGATTCAAGAGGGTGTCTTTGGTGTCCAATCAGAACTGAAATTGTGCTTCCCCTTTGGTCAGGTTCCTGAGATGAACGATATTTTCCAGGATGGTCAATTCCTTCAGCTGAAAAGTTACTGCTTTTCAAGATTTCGCATTTTTTGATGCAATAGTGGCACTTGTCAAAGCAAACTAACACTTTTCAAAGAAACACACCTAATAAAAAAGCCACATTTCTGAAAATCATGCTTTCAGTGCATATGTGAATCTACCTGTCCATATTTACACATTACCACTACAGTTTTATCTCCTCTGCTGTCTCAAGTTTTGAATGGTTTTTGCCCTTTCCTTGCTTTTCTCTTCTCCATGATCAGCTCTTCTGTATTTAACACCATTTTGTTACACGGATGCATAAACAGATCCTGATCTAGGGAAAATTATTTGCCATTGTTGTTATTACGGGTCTGGATTAGCAATATGCTCTGTTTCCAGATCATTTTGGCCTCCTGGCATGACCATTAAGAATGCCAGCTCCACCTCTGCCTGCACAGAATGATGTCCTGCACATTCCAGCTGCAAGTCCTTGAGGACTCACAGCAGTGAGAGCAATGGGACCTGAGGTTTGGACAGAACTGGGAGCATCTCCATAGTAAGTCTGGACAGAGAACTTCCAGCACCTTAATTTGCAGCTGTGACTTTGCCCTGCACTGACCAGCTTCACTCATGCTCCTTTGGATACCTCAAGCAGTGGAGACACGGTGTTCAGGCACCAGCTCCTGAATATGCAGGTAACATCCCGGGCGGGCTTGTCCAGCCTGCCCTGAGCCCTGGGAAGATTAAAGCTGGTTGGTATTTGATTATCTGCACTGCAATCACACCTCCAGTTGCAATGTAGGTGCACAGTGGGTGACCAGGGGACCCCTCTCTGTGCTGTACTGTCAGAAGCAGCACGAGAGATGTGACAAGGAGGGCTGGAAGGCTGGACTGAGGAGTCCTACATGGTTTGTCCTACAGCAGCTGATTTTGAGAGCAGCTCACACACATGGTGATTTTGAAGTCTCTCCCTTCTGCTCCCTATACTCTGAAAAGAAGACAGACTTAGGACTGGGATAGACTGTATTTATTGTAGCTGCTTTCTCAGTGAGTGGTCTGTTAAAGGGAGAAACACACTTCTGTATGAAATTGTGTTTGCATTATATATTTTAAATCCTGAAATGAGCATGAGATGAACTATCATGGAGATTTACAGAAATTGAATTAAGACCTTTCTTATACCAGTTCAGAGTTTACAACTCGTTTCCACTTACAGAAGAGATGTGAGTATTTTACTTGTCTTGGATTCTGCAGAGGATTCTTGGGGTCCCAAAACCAGACGCTGAAAATCACTGCTCCGCAGTGCTGGCTGGCACAAACTAAAATGCCACCATCTGCAGCTGTGTGAGCACAACTAATGGGAAACAAATAAAGAATAAAGTCTGTAAGTAACTAAGTTCTGCATCTGTGCTCTATCAGAGCTGGAGCATCTGCAAATTCAGATCCATAGATTTGGTGACGTGTCTTATCTGCACACAGAAGTGCAATGGTAAGTAGGAGAAAGGAAAGAGCAACATGGACTCTTCACTTTTTAGAGGCTACACTGTGAGGGCCTCTGAAAGGTGGAGCCTTTGAGGAAGTCTCAAGTCCCAGACAGAGAACTTCAAATCGCAAACCGCTTCTCATCATCTTTGCCTAAATTTGCAAAAGTCAAGACAGGGTTATGGCTGACAGAAAACCAGCTTTCCCCATGTCTGACCCGATTTTTCAGAGACATTTTCAATGTTAGAACTACGAATAAAATTAAATCCGGGCTCTTGTGAATTGCTGCTGACCTGCTACACAACTGCTCCATGTCATACCCTTACAAAGCCCAACAATGCACATGTTAGCAGGGCCGTGTCAAAAGCTGCAGTGTCTCACTTTGGCTAAGCAAGTATGTTTGGATACTTATTTAAAAGTTGTTTGTATCCCTCAGTCCATGAAGCCAGAGTAAAAATATTGTTGGAATAATCCTTCTCATGAGGTCTCCAATAATACCTGCATCCAGCTGGGCTAGAAAAACACTGGGAGCAACCTTTCAGAGACTTTCC